GCTGTTTGAACTTCAGAGTCATTGTTGCTTGAAGTAGTAAACTGTTCAAATGATGGGCCACTTGGGAAAGTTTGGTTACTTTCTGATGCTGATTTCATTATGTCACTTTGTGTCGCACGAAAATAATGCTCAGTTTCTGGGAAATTAGGGCTGCTTGCATCTGACTGAGAGCATTTGTGTGACAGAATAGAGTTCAGACATGGCACCCCCCCCTCCCTTTTACTTTATTTTATTTTGTTGAAAGACTGATTATGGCATTTTGGGAAATATTCTGTTGATAATGGTTCAAGTTCCAATTCTCACACTTACATTTTTGTTTAGTTATTTGAACTAATACTTTTATCTTTAAGCAAGTAATTCATGACAACCTTTAATGACCTAGGTTTTCATGACATGCTGTTCATCTGCAGATAGAATGATTAAAGTCAGAACAAGATTTGCTAACAACAGATTCTTAGATATCACTTGTGTTTATCTTTGTGTTTCCCATTGACCTTGTATCAAATCTTGCTAAGACGACATAATGGTGTTTGTTAATACATATACTGTATGAGGCCTCTCGAGACACAGTGTTCAACAGTGAGTAGTGGAGTGGACACAGTAGTGTGGAGAGACAGTGACAGAGAGAAGCAGAGGCACAGAGACAGGCCAGGTTGTTCTCTGTGTTCCTGTTGTTGCAATAAAACTCAGCTGATCATCTCACTAAGTACCTTCATTCTTGGACCACGTATTTCTACCTTTGTTAAATAAATATTGCCATAACACAGAATATGTAATTATATGAGAGCAGAAATATCCACTCATCCATCCATTTTCTTTCAACTGACAGCTGGGGAGACACCCTGGGCAGGTCGCAACTCCATCACAGGGACATAGAAACGATGTTTCACCCTCTCACTCACCTAGGGACGATTTAGAGTGACCAAAATTGTAAAATTAATGTTTTAGTCTGTGGGAGGAAACCAGAGTAACTGGACAAAACCCACATTTGCATGGAGATAACATGCAAATATGGGTTCCTTACAGGCCAGGAAACAGTCCTGCAACCATCTCACTGAGAGGTGATGACTCTAACCACCACTCCCTAGGCCACTCAGCAAAATTAGCTTTTTAAATTTTTTTTTCGTGTGTAGCTAGTCCCACATATTTTTTGGTCAAATGGGAAACTGTTTAACAAGTGTTGGTTTGTGTCTAACAACCAGTGTGATTCAGGCTCAAGCAGTAGCTCCGTTTATTTACTCAGAGCAGCAGATGTTTGATTGAATTATTGAATATATGAATTAAAACACTCAGGGCTGTTTGTCAGCAGATCAGCTTTCCAACATGTAAGTAAAACTATCACACGCATTGCCTGCAATAGGTTTCCATATGTTAACAAAACAGTTTTTTGGAAAAGCAAATCAGACTGTTTACAGTTTCACCAGATTTAGCACCTTTACCCAATAAACAACTTAAACAAATTACTTACTGGAATTCAGCATATTTTATGAAAATAAGATGCATAATTTTCCCTTTAGYTAACCAACGTTACCTAAAGTTAAGTCAAACTCAGTCAGTTTGGCTGGCCTCTCACCTGGACAGTGGTGGGCAGCATCCAGTGCTTCAGAGTATCAGCTGTAGTGCCATTGGGCAGAACCACTGGGTCCTGAAGATCCATGTTTAGAGTGACGACACATGTTGGGTAGCACTCATCACCTGCAAAGCAAAGGGAAAAAAATATCAAATAAGACCTCTCATCATTGAAATTTACTTTCATCATATGTTTCTTATTTAGTAGATTGATAAAAATGACCAAAATGTATCTAAAATATTTGCCAACCAACATATCAAGTCATAGTTTAACTTCTAATCCCAGGCTGTTTTTGTAACACAGAACTTATTTGGAACTGGCTGTGTGGTTGAAGATTCAGTAGTTAATCCCCTAATGTACCCTTAAGTACAAAGGTACTGTAAGTGCTGAACTGCCAGAGGGTTTTTTAAAAAGTAAGGCTGATCAAAACTGAAAGTCAAAGTGTCTGTGAATCCAGTTTCCTTCAGCATCACAATGCACTCAAAAACTGGTGGAAACTCTGATGGGAGGAGGTGTGGCAGACCCAATCCTGGATCCAGCAAGACAGCCCCAGATCATCACACTGCTTCCTCCATGTTTAACAGTTGTCACACTATGAGAAACAGTACAAATGTCTGCAGTGTTTTAACCTGGCCCTTGCCTTCCTACGCAGCTCCGCTCAATTCTAGTTTCCCTTCACTGCTCTGTCTGGGATTTCTCCCATTGACAAGGATTTCTTCTGGAGCATTTTTGTCTGGGCCAATCAGAGAACAGAACATTGATTTTCTGCACAGTGTCTGCTTGTAGTTTATTTTACCTGGGCCAATCAGCAAACAGAAGG